CTTATTTGCTTCTTCTTGCCGAGAATACCACTTGATAAATTGTTGTATGTGCGATTCAGCTTCTCTAGCTTTACGCAAATCTTTGTGAGTTGTAATAGCATCATCAACATTGCCACCATCAAAGTCTCTGTTAGCTTCTGAATCAGTTTCGTCCGCCTCTGTTGCCATTTCAACGATTTCATCATCTGTCAGCAATCGATAGCCGTTTGCGTCCTTATCACAAATTAACCATTCGTTTATGTCATCTTTAGGCAACGAAAACAAAACAGTTGATTCAGCCATATCTTCATTTAAGGGGAGTATTTTCATCTAACTTGATTCAGGCTATAATTTATTCCACGCTCTGTTCAACGTTACTTCCGAAACATCAGCCCAAGCATCCACAGCATTGTCGACTGCGTGTTTTAAATTGTATGCTTTCCAGTATTTTGGCAAAGAATATTCCTGTTTCATAACTAGTTTTTGAATAAATTTTTTTCTGTATCTTCCTTTGAATGTTTTAATGACCGAATGATCCATTGTCTGTATCAATGATGTTGTATTCGCAGGCAGAAAAGAGTACGTGATTTTTTATTGTCACTCCGCAGCATACCGGCTTTAGGATGGGCAGGTGCATTGTCCAAAATGAGAATCGTCTTTGGTGGAGAATTTTTTGCAAACAAAATGAATTGATGAGTAAATTTTTACTTATGTTGTCAATATACCTTATGTATGGACCCTGACGGTTAACAGAGGTGACGGTTAATAGAGAGACGGATAATCGAGGTTCCACTGTATAATAAAACTAAGTCTAATGATTCGTTTTTATCGTATTCTTCGGAGTAATCAAGAACCCGGTGAATTTTGGAGCGCCGTAAGACCCAGAAAACTAAATGAAATTATACTTTTTAGTGAAAATAATTTGTTGAAAAACCCTCTATAGTATTGCTCCGACATAATTTTATTGTAAAATAACTAGAAAAAAGTTAAGATCGAAAAGAAAATTTGTTCAAAAATGTTTAGTTATTTTTCTTAACTTTTTTATTTTCCATTTAACCATAAAAAGTAATGCAAATTCATTTGTAGGCGATTTAATCTGCTACAAATAACATCTGATAAAATTTTCTATAGGATTGCTAGTTTACGAGATACCGCGCGACAAGGGTGGCGACCCCACAAACTGAAGCATATACCTATGCTTCATAAAAATGCTATATTTATGCTATACATAAAAAAAAATAAAATTGCGTCCTCTGAGAAACGCACGCTCAGGTATAGAAATGTAACATTTCAATGGACTATTGGCTCATAAAAGACTGCACCACATACGTAAGACAAACAAAACGAGTTCAGACCTGAAAAGTACATATATCGGTCTTTGAATACTAATATAGGTGTAACGTTTTATTAAAAGAGTAAGGACTTCAAGCACTCATACCTAACACATATGAAGTGGGAATTTAATTTTTATTCTGAATAAGGGCCGGTTTCACCAACAACAAATAGCTGTCTATTCAATGAATAAAGTTATTCGACCAATAAAACTGACATATCTGTGTTTCACCAACGTCAAATAAGACTTATTCTATGAATAAACTCCAAATAAGTTATTGGTCCGAATAAGTTGACAGCTAACCACACTTTCAATATCAATAATAAAGAAAATTCATTAGTTTAACTTGAAATTATCAACAATGCATTGCAGGTAAACGTAATTATATAAGACAATTTGAATTTTGTATACATATATATTTATTTTAGATTATTATCTTCATCATCATCATCCTCTGATGACGGAAATGAGCAGCGAAGGAGAAGAGGCCTGCAGCTGCAAAGAAGAAACCCTTTTGCTGAATATGATGACCATTGGCATTGATAATTATTATTATTTTGACAAATTAATCAACCAATATCAAATATTATAGGTTATATGTTTACAGTGAAAAATTGTGCGATGCGCTTAGCCAAGCACCTAAGAGGTGGAGGCCAAGAGAGGTGTCAACGAGTACAGTTCGTGGAAAATCATTACACTTTGAACTTATTCGACGAATAACTAACTGTAGATTACAAATAGTTATTGAAAGGGAATAAAATTCATTCTACTAATAAATTTTATTCAACGATTAACTATTCAGTGATTTATTTGTTGTTGGTGAAACCGGCCCTAAACCATGTATAAAGGACATGTAGTAGGGGACATACAAGGGCACTAGAAAAAATAGAAGCTAAACAATCTGAGAACAAATCTAAACGATCATCTTGATACCAATGAAAGCGAAACAAATATATATATAATATATATATATATATATATATATATATAAAATAGTCAAACATAGAGCAAAGAAAGCAAAAGATTTTAATCAGATAGGTGTATCCGAGATGAAAATAATAATTCACGAAGGATGTAAAAGAGACGGAAAAAGAATTTTGACACTTTTATTAAATAAAGAATTTGACAGACTCAGTTGAGTTAAGGGAGACATTAAGAGAAACGGTGATCAAAATAACAAACGAAGAAGTGGTTCAAGCAATTCAAAAAATAAAAAAAGGAGAAGCAGTTAGACCAGGTGATATTCCTGTGGAAGCGTGGAGAGCATTAGGACAGTCATAAATCAGTTGGTATGCAGGTTTAATTAATAGAATTATGGAAGTTGGACAAATGCCAGATGAATGGAGAAGCAGTATATAAGTAATTGTTTACTAAAACAAGGGAGAAATACAACAATATACAAACTAGAGGAGCCCCTGGTGAATATGTAAAGATTGTGAGAGACATGTATGAGAGAGTAAAAACTAGTGTTAGGGTCAGGACTGGGAGAGACTGATAAATTTTGTGTGAAAGTAGGATTGAACCAAGGCAATAGTGAAAGCGATTTAGAACAAATACTAACAGTAGAGACAAGCTCTTGAGAAAAAGGCTTAAAATTTAGTAGAAAAAAGACATGTATTTGGAATTTTCATATAAAGATGGAGTTACTACAAATACAATGATAACTTTATATTGGGAAATTATTGTTAAAAATACCTAGTACCTAGGATCGGTATTAAAGAGTAATAGATAAATAGATAGAGATGCATGCAGTAGAACTAGGGTTGGATGGATGAAGTGGAAGAAAGCAAGTGGTATATTGTGTGACAAAAATAATTCCAATGAAACTGAAGGGAAAACTCAATTAAACAGTCTTAAAACTAGCTATTATAGAAGGAACTGAATGTTGGGTGGTTAAATAGAAATTTTCATATATATATATATATATATATATATATATATATATATATATATATATATATATATATATATTGCTTATTGCCGCAAATTGTAGTGATTTTTTCCCAAGTTAACAGTTAACATGCTCCTTTTCTAACTTGGCTGCACCGCACTGAAGACGATTCATAGTCAAAAATACGTACATACGGTCACCTTCCATCTTATGCAGATATTTTATTATAGTTTTTCCTTTGTTGCAAGCTATGCCGATCCCTACTAACTACTAATAAGTTATAAACTAAACATATACAGGGTGGTCCTTAAGTAATTGTACAAAAATAAACCGTAGATTCTACACTTTAAAATATTACGATTTAAGCCAAATTGCTTTTACAAAATGTTGCTATTAAGACAAATACAGGGTGTTAAGTGGAAATTTAAAATTTTAATTTTCGCTATAACTTTCATGTTTGTGAACATTTATGTATCAAAATTCATAACTAGATACTACTGAACATCAGGAATTATAATTTGATGCATGCTTTAATGTAGATCATAGAGGGCGCCACATATGCCGTATATGTGGCATACATTAGCACTGAATTTTTTACTCTTTAAGTTACCGGTGTTTATGATAAAAAATATTAAAGATACATTATTTTAATAAAAAAAGGTATACTTGTTAATAACTTCAAAATTCAATAGTTTTCGAGATAACCGCATTTTACAAATCAACTACATATTTCAGATTTAACACAATTACTCCTGACAACGAAAGAAAATTAGACAAAAACATCAATACTTCTGAGTTTTGGTATAAAATCCTTTAATAAAGTTAACAGTTAACGAAATATTAAATAAAATAAATATATCAGCAAGATAGTTAATAGTAGGATTAGGAATTGACAAAATAACAGAATAATTGGATTTTACATAAAACATTTTACGTTTTGTATTCAATTAAAGTCATAATCAAAATATTTTATTTACAAACCAAATTAAGAAATAGTTAAACCAAATAACATTTAACTTTTTGTCAAAGTAAGTATTCCATATGTCCACCATTTTCTTTAATTCATTTATCAATACATTCCATGAAAGAACTTCTCATATTAAATAGCACTATTGGTTCTAAAGAAACTGTTGCAGTATTTATTATAGGTATTATAGTATAATAAGTATTCTTTTAGGATTTTTATGCATTAAGTAATTATATTAATATCTCACCACATGACCAAGGAATATAACTACCACGAATAATCCAACGTTCAGGAAAGTTGTATTTAATTATGTTCTCACTGCCCTCTCTCTATAATGGGGTGGTATACCATTTTGAATAAACCACATATTTCGCCCTTAAGTTTGATGACAATTCTTCCAATAAATCATTAAAATCATTCCAAGATCATTCACATGTCCGTAAAAAATAATTACCAGTGGTTTCAAACCATATGCTTATTTAAATTTATGTTTAAAATGCATATCATATGGTTTGGTACCATTTGTAATTATTTTTTACGGACACGCGAATTACCTTTTAATTTGAATAGTGAGATTTATTTACATTTTTACAAGAACACTTGTTTTGACAAAAAGTTTAATGTTATTTAGTGTTGATTTATTTATTTTATTTACAAACATAAAAGTTATAGCGAAAATTTTAAATTTCCACTTCAACATTCTGCGGTCTCTTTTTGCACTTTACTTAAGGACCAATCTGTATATATATATATATATATATATATATATATATATATATATATATATATATATATGAATATTGTGTTTAAATAACAAAAGAACATTTTAC